GTCCCAGTCTAATATAAAACACATTAGCTCGATAGCTCCAGGTCGTCATAGGGGCTCCCCACAGAAAAGGATGACAGGCAAGATGCACTGAACTACAGGCCAGTGTCCCTAACATGTATACTATGCAAGGTGATAAAAATCATGGGAAAACCTAGTAACAAATCTGAAGACAAGGGACTTCGTGACGCACCACCATAATGGGTTTAAGGATAGCTAATCTTGCCTCACAGGTCTAATAGAATTCTGCATTCAGGTTACCTGCGATCAGGTGACAAAGATTAAGCAAGACAGAGAAGGGTGGGCAGACTGCATTTTCTTGGATTGTCAGAAAGCTTTAGACACAGCACCCCATAAGAGGCTGGTGCATAAGTTGGAGAAACAGGCAAAAGTAACTGGTAGGGTGCTCCAGTGGATAAGGGAATACGTAAGCAATAGGAAGGGAAGAGTTACAGTGACGGGCGAGACATCAAAATGGCATGATGTAACCAGCGGAGTCCCACGAGGTTCTGTACTCAGACCTATCCTGTTTCTGGTATACGAAAATGATCTTCCAGAGCATATAGACTCATTCCTCTCAATGTTTACTAATGATACAAATTACGAGGACTATTTTCTGAGAAATTATGAGAAGGATAATATTTTGCCGAGGGTAATTATATGCAAGATCTCTATATTCTAACAGCTGCAACCACCCTCACATCTAGGTCTTTGATAATTACTGGAAAGAATTATCCACAATCCGTAAGGGAAAAGTCAGGAACATGAAACACAGAGACTTAATCTTTCTCTTGATAATCATTTGTAAAATAGATGCTTAATTATTATTAATTACTGCAACTTGGTTGAGTAAGTAATTATCAAAGAAGGCACAAAACCGGAAGGCTATGTAGCATCAAACTTTGTTGAGTATTACATTAGTTATCTTAATTATTATATGGCTTAGAGAATCACTGATAATATGCCAAAGACCAAGCAAGCTGCAGCTGATATATGCTCACTTTACTGACAAAAGGGTAAAGCCCTGAAATACCAAGTGAAACTTTAACATAAATTTTATAAATAAAATAAATTATTCCAGATTCTAAATATTTCTACAAAAGACTTAATGGTGTTATCTACAGTGAATATAACTCAGGGGTGTTCACCTTAACCCTGCCATTATCCAGCAAGTTGTAAAGCTGGAATCCATGCCATGTTTGTCTATCAGCTCCTCCTGGAGATGTCTCTGTCCGACAATACCACACTCCCACACATGGTCTTAATCCACACTAATTTTCTCTAAGTTCTCACATTAAACTTGCTATGAACCATAACCTCTGGCACCTAACCATGCCTCTAGGGGGACCAATCACAAGCCCAGGGAACCTGTAGGCCTACCGCGGGACGTGGCTTGGGACTGAGGTTCAAGCGTTTCCATGGGAGACCCTAGTGCCTGTGAAAATCTAGACGCCAGAGTGACAGGATGGGTCTTGAGGGGTACTCTGGATCCCAGTACATAATTTGTCACTGCCCTAAAGTAATGACCCCAATTACCTGTCTGGGCACCACGAGGGAAAGTCTCAGTGAAGCATCAGAAACACAAATACTTATAATGGAGGACTTTAACCATTAAAACATACACATTTATAAACATGGGTAAATATAACATCACAAGCAGGAGAATTTTTAGACCTGTTGCAAAACTCCTTTCTCATATAGCATGTGGTAGAGCCCACTCATGGTAGCAGCATTCCAGATCTGGTGCTAACATAAGAAGAGAGCAATCAAATTCTGGTCGGGGAAAAGCCAACTCCATCATGTGATCAAAATAGTTTAAGATGGACTGTGAGTATAAAAACCCACATAAATGTGGGATAACGCATTTCTAGATTACCATCAAGGAAACTTATCAAGGAATGAGAGCGGAACTGCAAAACATCTCCAGGAGGAGCTGATAGGCAAACATGGCATGGAAGCATCAAGGAAAATTTCATTACAGAACTTCTTAAAAAAACCAGCGTTGAATGTAATGAAACATCATCTTCTGGGACGAGCTCCCCATAGATATATGTACCAAAAAGGAGAAAGAAAAGAAAGGGAACAAGATGGATGACACAGGTTGTAAAGCTAGCATTGATAATCAAGCGGAACCTCTGAAGAACGTATAAATCCACGCTGAACTTCATTGATTCTGAGATATACAAAAGGGCACTAAACTCAACTCCCAGAAAATCAGATTAGACAAAAGAAACATATTAAGATAACTTGCCCAAAACAAAGAAAAATCCAAAATCATTCTATGCCTATATAAGAAATAAAACGAAAACAAATGATTCTGTAGAACCCTTAATAGATGAGCCTACCCAAGTTATAATGGATGACAAAAGGGAAGCTAACACTCTAAATTAATATTTTACATTAGTGTTTACACTATAGAGGTTAGACGACGTCCCATCACCCACAGAAATGTATGCAAGCGAAGAGAACCAATATAGGGATATACCCATAACATGAGCTATAATCAGGAAGAACATAGACAAACTAAAAGACACAAAATCCCCAGGTGTGGATGGAATCCAATCCAGAGTTATAAAGGAACTGGCAGAAGATGTATGCCTACCGCTATGCAAGTTACACTCTTGATGAGCTATTTCCAAAATTCAATGTACATCGTCACAACAATGGGCTCGAGACCAACCACAAGTACAGTTTCTAAATTAAGCAACTGACATATGTGGAGAGCTAGTGTCACAATTTATAAGGTTATCCTGTACACCGGACTCCCCCGTCCAGTGAGCAATCGTGGATAGGCTACAATCACCACCTACAGTTAGCAAACTGGGAGTATTTGGCCAATACGTCTGGCAGCAGATCATTTTGAATGGAAATATGCAAATGTCATCACACATCTGCAAGCTCATGGAGATAACTTTTCAGCTAGGGAATCATTCACCATCTTTCAGTGAACAATCTTGTGCAAACGACCTAACATGGGTTTGTTATACATAGATCCTGCCTTACAAACCTGCTCACATTTCTGGAAACGGTCACCAGCTACTCAGACACAGACGTTGTGGTGGATGTAGTATACATGGATTTTGCTAAAGTCTTTGATAAGATACCAAATGAAAGACTGGCAAGAAAATTACAGGGCCCATGGAATAAATTTTAGAGAACTAGAATGGATAATGCAATGATTGAAACAAAGAAACCAGAGTCGTGCTAAATGGAATCGAATCTGAATGGATAAATGTGGAAAGTTAAGTACAACAGGGGGTCCATTTTGGGGGCCCTTTTTTGTCATTTATATTAATGACATAAATGAGAATATTACAAACCACATCATCAAATTTGCCGATGACAAAATTTATGGTAGAGTAAGAAATGATAAAGATATTGAACCCTTACTAAAAGATCTACATGAACTCGACAAATGGCTGGCAAATACTTTTTAATATCGACAAATGCAAGACCCTGCATGTGGGGCATAATAACCCACGCCACACCTACTAAATCAATGCCATCACATTGCAGCAGATTGATGAAGAAAAGGACCTGAGGGTCAAAATCCACCACTCACTAAAAGTTGCACAACAGGTAGAACAGCTGTCAGAAAAGCTAAGCAAACCCTTGGAATAATCAAGCATATCCTTGACATTAGGGAAAAGAAGGTAATGATTTAACTGTATAAATCTCTTGTGTGCCTCCATTTGGACTACTGTATCCAGGAGTGGAGACCTCACTTACAGGACACAACTTCTCTGGAGAAAGTGCAACAAAAGTCATTCCAGAGCTAAGTCATTTTTTGTATCAGGAACGGGTTGAGGGCCACATGCCTAACAACACTGTAAACCAAGCATGACCGGGCGGATTTCACTGAAACTTTTAAAAATACTGAACAATGAGGATGTTGATCCTGAAAAATTCTTCTAAAAGGCAGATGTAACACAAACAAGGAGCAATGGTTTCAAGCTCAACAAGCCACAATGTAGGACTGAGAATAGGAGATGCTTTTTCACCCACAGGGTTATAAACCCATAGAACCACCTACCTGCTGAACCCACAAACACCACAACTCTGTTAGGTTGTAAAATCCACCTGGGATCATCAAGGGAAATGGGGGGGGGGGGACCAATAACAAGCCACTGGCTTCCTGTTGCCGTCGAGGCCACTAGTGTTAGTGGCCCTCAGATAAATCAGGAAAAATTAGGTAGAGGAGAATTGGGAGAATTTTTTGAGTTCTTACATTCTTGAAAGAGTCTATATACTTAAGAATGTACATACTTGTGTACATACTGTACACAATCATCATACTACTGTCCATAAATATTTTACTACTGTACACAAACATTATACTATTGTGCACAGACATTATACTACTGTACACAAGCATCATGCTACTGTACACAAGCATCATGCTACTGTACATAAACATCATACTACTGTACGTAAACATCACACTACTGTACATAAACATCACACTACTGTACATAAACTTTATCCTACTATATATTTAACATCATACTACTGTACATAAACATCACACTACTGTACATAAACATCATACTACTGTACATAAACATCACACTACTGTACATAAACATCATACTACTGTACATAAACATCATACTACTGTACATAAACATCATACTACTGTACATAAACATCATGCTACTATATAAAAACATCATGCTACTATGCACAAACTGATGCATTCTTGGGATAAGCATTTTAGATGAAGTCTTGTGTATTTAATTCATTTTCAAGTGTAAGTTATTTACTAAGTCCATCGTTTGACAAATTAATAGTTAATAGTTTACAAATAATTTTGATGCCAATCTTTGCTATTGAAGGCAAAAGATTAAGCACATTAAAATAATTAGTCGCATTTAAAATAATTTAACGATTTTTTCAGAATCTTGAAAATAATTGTATTGATTGCCCATAAATAAATTTTGCTCCATAAATATCAGATAAAACTTTTCACTGCCATATTCTCTTAAAATAAGCTAGTTACATACTTTGTTAAATCTAATGATGCTACCACTTTTATTGGAATTTGGAAAGCTTTGACTGCCTCATCAGGGTTGGATAATGCAGAGGAGGTTTTCACAGTGGCTGTGATGTTGAAGAATGTGTCATGAGTTTCCAGAGAACTGAAGAAACTTGTAGAAGGAGTCACGTACAGATTAAAGTCCACCTGCAAGAAAAATTGAATTAATAGTGTAATAACTAAGAACTAAGTCAACTCTTATACCAAGAACAGTTGAGGTCCACAGGGATAACAACACTGCAAACCAGGTATGACAGAGCGGATCTCATTGAAACTTAAAATACTGAACAATTTGGAGGGCATTGATCCAGACAATTCCTTCAAAAGGTCAGAAGTAACACAAACAAGGAGCCACGGTTTCCAGCTCAACAAGCTACAATGTAGGACTGAAAACAAGAGATGCTTTTTTACCCATTGGGTTATTAACCCGTGGAACCGTCTATCCACTTAAACCGTAAATGCCAAAACACTCCTGAATTTCAAAACCTAGCTCCATAAAATCATCAATACAAATGGGGGACCTCTGACAAGCTTTGTCTTTATCAAGGCCACTAAAGAGAGATAGTGGCCCTCAGGTAAATAGTGATAATATATAATACAAGAAAAATAAGTATAACAAAATATTTCTCGTCAGTCGGTGACCGCTTGCAAGTTGCAATTGGAAAGCCCTCGACACATTTTAGTAAAACATGAATAGTAAGTATACTCAGTGGTGTAGTGCTGCCAGAGCTCGCCGGAGCGCCACTCTGACCCCTCTGCAAGTGAATGATGGAATGGGAGAAAGGGAGAGAGGATGAGGGGAAAGGGGAGATAATGGCTTGTGGGTGATGGTTAATCGTGGCAAGAAATATTAGTATTACATCACCAATAAGTTAATAATGTTATGATATTCGGTTTATTAAAGAGTCAATAATATATAAATTTGTATATAATTAAGAAAATAAACAGGCAGAATTGTACTGGTACAAATTTGGAAACATAATACCCGACATACGTGCTAGAAGACGGGACACCATGAGCATAACTCTCATCCTGTAACTATGCTTAGGTAATTACGAGAACATTTCCTGTCCATTTATGCGAGGCAAACTTGCCAACCTACCACTTTGTATACAAATATTCAGCGATAATGTTCATGGCTTTAGCAGTAGTTCATTAGACAGGAATTCTTTATTTATGCAATAGTATATTTTAGTATTAAATACTAGGCAGGTAAAACGACAAAACTGCTACACTTAAAGTGTATAACAAATCACTGGTAATAGGAGAACTGCTCAAAATTTGGAAGACGACTAATGTAGATCCTGATATACAAGAAGGGGGATAGACAGGAGACACTGAACTACAGGCCAGTGTACCTAACTTGCACACCATGCAAGCTGATGGGAAAGATTGTACGAAAAAGGCTAGTGGAAAATCTGGAGCGAAGGAACTTTGTAACACAACATCAGCATGGGTTCAGGGATGGCAAGTCATGTTTCACAGGATCAATTGAGTTCTATGACCAGGCAACAAAAATCAGGCAAGAAAGAGAGGGGTGGGCAGACTGCATATTTTTGGATTGCCAGACAGCCTTTGGCACAGTGCCGCATAATAGACTAGTGCACAAGTTGGAGATGCAGGCAGAAGTGAAAGGGAAAGTACTCAATTGGATAACGGAGTACCTAAGCAACAGAAGACAGCAAGTCACTGCGAGGGGTGAGGCATCAGACTGGCGAGGCATCATCACTGGAGTCCCACAGGCATCAGTCCTATAACCTGTATTGTTTTTGATATATGTAAATGATCTCCGAGAGGGAACAGACTCGTTCCTCTCATTGTTTGCTGATAATGCAAAAATTATGAGGAGGATTAAGACAGAGGAAGATAGTATAAGGCTACAAAGGCTACAAGATGACCAAGACAAACTGAATGAATGGTCCAACAAATGGCTACTAAAGTTCAACCAAAGCAAATGTAAGGTAATGAAATTATGCAGTGGAAACAGGAGATGCCAAAACTGTCTCCTGAAGCCCAGTTCAAAAGAATAACATCAGCAGCATATGCAGGGCTGGCTAACACCAGGACTGCTTTCAAGAACCTCTGTAAGGAATCCTTCCGAACCTTGTATACCACATATGTAAGACCAATCCTTGAGTATGTGGCCCCACCATGGAGCCCGGATCTTGTCAATCACAAGACAAAGCTGGAAAAAGTTCAGAGGTATGCCACTAGGCTAATTCTAGAACTAAGAGGCATGAGTTACGCGGAAAGGCTGCGTGAAATGCACCTCACGTAGCTGGAAGACAGGAGAGCTCGGAGAGACATGATCACTACCTACAAAATTCTCAGATGAATTGATAGGGTAGATAAAGATAACTGTTTAACACGGGTTGTATGCAAACAAGGTGACACAGGTAGAAACTGAGTACCCAAATGAGCCACAGGGACCTTAGAAAGAACTTTCAGTGTCATAGTAGTTAACAGATGGAATGCATTAGGCCGTAATGTGGTGGAGGCAGACTCCAATAATAGTGTTAAATGTAGATATGATAGTGCCCAGTAGGCTCAGGAATTTGTACACCAGTTGATTGACAGTTGAGAGGCGGGACTAAAGAGCCAGAGCTGAATCCCCGCAAGCACAATTAGGCGAGCACCACTAGGTGAGTACACAATTTTTCATAATTTAGTGCTCTTTGGGATGGTTCTAGCGTCTTGTGAAATACTGAGTTGGCAACTCTGCTGCTGTGTTTCAGTTGCATAAGTAAAGTGGTGGCTGGTGGTCCATAGATTTCTCTCTAATACATATGCATTTTTTCTCTCAAACAACCCAATCATGGCATCAAACCGAACAATGTTGACTTCCTTCTTTCATAAACAAAATGAGGAATACAAGAAGAATAACGTTCAGGAGACTGATAATAATAACAGTGAAAGTGGTAAAAGTTGAGTTTCCACTCCTTCTAGATCAAAATTTTAAACTGGATCCATCTGCAGTTCAGAAATTAATGATACTTTGAAGTCTATCCTGTATCTCTGTTCAGGTGTTTGGACTGAAGAAATGTGGAAGAAAAATAACGAATCCTATCCATGGTTAAACTTCAGGGATGATAAACTTGAGTGTAAAGTTTGTGCAAGTATTGCCAGGCAACTATTGAGCTGTTTCAATTATCATGGGTTTGATGACATATTTGAAACAGAACCGTGTTGCCTTGGCTAGTGATGGGGCAAGTGTCATGCTTGGTGTCAAATCTGGTGTTGCAACAATTCTCAAGGAACATTACTTTGATATAATAATCTGGCACTGTCTTGACCACTGCACTGCGCCGGCCAAGAAATCTTGTTAGCCCCTTACTGAACCAACCAAGAGAATTCTTTTTTATTTTTTCGTACACAGTCGAAACGCAATCGCAGTAGGTTGGGTACGAGATGGACGCCTAAGGCCTTCAATGAGGGGCGGTCATCTTGAAAATGTATCCCAGAATGCTCTAGGCCTTAGGGGATCCTCAGTTCTGACTGAGCATCCATAGCTGATGCATGAGCCTCCACCTCCCAATCGCCTGTGGGATGCGGTGTTGAAAGATCACTTTCTAAAGGGCAAATTGTGACTTTATTGTTTGAAGAAGAACAGGAATGTGATATTGATGACCCAGGGGAGAATAGAGACCTAACACAAGTGTCCGAAGCATTCTGTGTCCAGTGAAACAGACACAAATAATGACGATACACTGATCGTGTCTCGATCAGGGCGAGCGGCGCATCATAGGTCATCGCCCATGCCAGTATTTACTCCACCACCTGCTCCATCTTCTAATTTTGACAAAAGTGATTGTGTTGATAACTAATTTTCTGGGTTCAGTGACGCTGCTTCTGATATAAGTAGCATAGATGTGCCAAGTGGTAGCGGCTGCTGTCACAGTGCTACTAGGCAAAGATCTGCTGTCTCAGCAGGTCACCCTGCCAAGTGCCGCCATGTCTCCCCTCGCGACAACACTGACGACAGTGTTGCCTCTACACCTACTTTCTCTGCTTGCCCTGCTAGTATATAATGTAAAAGACCTGCAACTCCTGCCCAAAGGAGATTTATTGCAAGAAAATGCACCTGTGGAGTCGCTCGTGGTGGTGCTCCCAGTACAAGGAGCACGGCTGAATATTTGTGGGAAGACTGTAATATCTTTCTACCACATGAACCTCAATTTGATGCTAGTGATGTGGGGGTTCCACCCACATTCCCGTTCACAGGTGAGGACATGATGGAAAGTGATTATTTTATGTCATATTTTGATGAGCAATTCATGCTACATCTTGAAGAAACATACAGGTATACAGGGCAACTCATTGCAGGTTGCTTATTACCTGCTTCACGTATGATACGTTGGAAGGACACCACCGTGGCTGAGTTGTATGTGTTCTTTGTTCCGCGTATGCTCATGAAACATTCGGTGAAACACGTAATAAAAGATTATTGGAACAAAGAGTGCGCTGTTCCAACCCAGTGGTCAACAAGTACATGTCACGAGACAGGTTCCTGATACGGTGCCTATACTTTGAAAACCTTGCACATGTTGATAGAAATGACCGACTTTGGAGAGTGCGAAAAGTGTTCAGTGATCTCAAAGGGAAATTTCGTGATTATTTTGTACCTGGACAGAATCTTGTCATTGATGAATCCCTAGTTCTTTTCAAGCGACGTCTTCTCTTCAAACAGCACATCCCATCGAAACGGCACCGTTTTGGCCTCAAATTCTTTGTACTGTGCGATTGTAAAACCGGAATGGTGATCAATATGATATTATATTCCGGTACAGACGTAGACATACCCGCACAAGTTCTTCATGGGTTTCCTGGCAGTGTGGTGAAGACGCTCATGGAACCACTGCTGAACAAGGAGCACATTCTGTACACTGACAATTATTATACGAGCCTCTTGCTAACAAAGTTCTTGCTTGAACATGACATGGTAGTGTGTGGGACTGAAAAAAACAAATAGGAAAGAAATGCCAGCTTTTTAAATAATATTGGTGTAAGTGATTGTGAATTTAGAAAATGTGGCAAGATCTTATCAGTGCGTTGGAGAGACAGACATGAAGTAAATATGTTATCAACTATTCACACTGGTGAAATGCATGCAAGTGGCAAAGTGATGTATATAACTGATGGAACATTGT